ATAATTTTATAGCTTTGAAAAAATTTCTTAGATCTTTCTATACAAATCTTTCAGAAATAGTGGAAAAAGTACATATCTTTTTTAGAATAATGTTCTTCATATATGTACATTCTCCAATATATATTCTAGGATTTCTCACATATACCATAATTTCTGAAGATAATCTGAAAACGTTTAAAATGTTTTTTTACTTATTTCCATATAAATTTAAAATATAATTCTTTAAAAAATATTATGAGATATTATTAAAAAATTATTTACCAGAGATACGATATAGCAATTGTTTTATTAATTATTTACTAATTATCTTAAAATGAATTATTTCGACTTTTTTATATTTATGTATCTATTAATTTATCTTACATAATATCTGTATTACTACCATAAATATCTACATAATATAAAAAATATTTAAATTAATTGCAATAATTGATAAGATTGGAATATTTTGTAGAACAGAATGTTTCAGAAGAGTCAATGAATTTATGTATTATATAATGTGTCGAATTTTGGTATCATAATAGTAAAATTATATTATTATTATTGCTATAACCTATATGTACTTAATTATTATAATATTATATTCATTTGATTATAATAATTCTAATTATATATACAATATTATTCAAATATTACACAAAGAATAAATTTTATTATTAATTTTCAAGATTTTTCGAAGTAATTACATACATGCAATTTTTTCCACAAAAAATCTTTGATTTTTAGATGTACATATATTTATTTTACTCAAAAATCTTTATATATAATGCAATTACGAGAGAGGGAAAGGAGAAGAGGGGGAGAGAGAGAGAGAGAGAGAGATATCGAACATAGTTGCAACTAACAACATAATGAGATGGCTAGCAGTCGTCATCAGCGAGAGAAGTTTGTCGGTAACACAATGCAGCGACAATGTCTGATTCAGGCAATGTTATGAAATCAGTAAACAGCCGTCTTACGTGCACTTACGTCGAAACTCGTCAGTCACACGCGCATAGATGCGTGTGTATCGGTAGGTGCGTTAGATGTAGATTTCGCAGTCACAGGCGGGGTGGTAAGACACGTTTCTCCACGCGGTGGCATCGCAGAAGGAGGATCGCTCATTCAATACGGGCGTATTGTTCGGGTCTTATCGTAATATCTCATAATTAATATCTCCGCATTGTGGTATGGATGGATAGGCAGGATTCGCTGCCAGACCCAACTGATAGCGAAAGCATTTGTACTCGGCAGCTCTTCATCTCTCGATCTCTCTCTTCCTCAGCTATCCTTACGCATTCATCCACCTTCTATCCTCGTCTTTGACGCGACGACCAAAGCTCGGTGTTCACTTCCACCGCATCCCATGAAAATCTTGTTCTTAGACCGCCAGACGATCCCGAATATCGATAAGCCGTGGATCTTGAGCAGGATAACGGTGGAAGTCTTATAACGAGTCAACGAGCGGGTCGTGCCATGGACGATTGTAATGGCTGCTTTGATGTATCGTCGAAATAAATTAATGAATGCCTAATCATATCCCATTATTGGGTGCGCTTAATTTCCTAATGATTAGAATACACAGAAACGAAGTCTCTTATATTTAAAAAGAATACAGAGAATAATAGTTTGAGTTAGAGTAAAGCATTTTGACGTTGAGCTAATTATTTAGTACATGTTATACAAGAACACGTCAAAGCCGTTTGTCACTGAGCTAATCAAAATACGTATACGACGGATAGATGTTGTGCGATTTGTCTGGTCCATTGAGACGCTGACCTTCCATCCCTTGATCCTCAAGGAGTATTTCGCCGGATATAGGAGGACACTGGTCGAGAAACGGTACTAAGGGGCTTTTGAGATCGCTGGACGAAGACTCTTGGTGCTCGCGGTCGAAAGGAGAGGCTCGCTTGTTCAGATGTCGGAATAGACGATGAACAGACGAATAGAAGACCGTCACAGACGACTGTATCCGCCTGTAAGCTCAATGCTTGGCAGAATTCCTAAGACGCCGCGAGTCCTTCGGCGGATATATTCGTATGTGCTCGGTGTAATTGAATGTATACACACTGCCGGCATGTATTTACAGGTTGACGCTCGTTGATACAATAGGAGCGTTTGCGACCTTTCCGTTTGAAATTCAATTTTGTCGTCATATGGAATTAGTTGCTATAAATACAATAGATCAGTTGAAACCAATGTATAGATAAAAATTATTAGAACCGACAAGTTCAACTTTTGCTGCTGATCTATAAAAAGATCATATTTGTCTCTATCATCTTAATATATACTCAATATAATTATGAATTATATATTAAGCAGAACAAATATAAGTCAATTTTAATATAATCGTTAATACGAACAAAGATTTAGCGTTAAAAATTGAATATATTGCGCAAAATACAAATCAGTTAATGTGAAATACTGCATTTAATAAACTAAAATTGGAAGCTGCAATTCAACCGAAACGTTACTTAAAAGTTGTTTAATTCCAGTGCATCTTGCTACGTCCTTGCCTCTGACTTGAATATTTAATTTCTTGCTGAAGAATTAATGCGATGAGAAGTTGAGTAACTCTCGATATTCCCATTTCCTCGGTAGCCACGAGGAGAATAATGCAGGACGGATAAGTCGAAGGACCAAACCAAAACAAGCTGCGCAACAGTTAAGGCAGATCCTGTTTGAATATTGTTACCTTAACGAGGCGCAAGTATTTGCTTTGGAGATGTAATCCAGTGTACGGCTCGGAATATGAACGGCTTGGCGAATTACAGCGGTGTTTCGATTCTAAATCGACGAAAAGCCTTCGTTAATTGGCTTGAAATTTGCATTCGTTGTTTGAACGTCAACGAGCTGTAAAATTGTACGTTAAAGTTACAAATGGTTACTTCCGAGCCGATTTTCTCGTATTTTTTATATGTATCTAATAGTAAAATTGACACCTTTTTTATACTTAATAATTTATAACATTAATTTTATCATTCAATGAATCTCGATAATAATAATGTTTCCTTTAATTTTATTAAAAGCAATCAAGATTAATTAAAATATTGTTATAAAATTGAAAATAATAAAACATTAAATCTATGTAATAAATATATATATACTCGAACTTAAATTGTCCATAAATTTCATCTTGCACGATGAAAGGAAAGAACGACTTCGGCGTGTTTCGCGAGTCGGATTGGTAAAATATCGAGCCTATACCGGAAATGGCCACCGCTAACAACAAGCGCGATGCGGGAGTCCGTGGCCGCGCGATTCGACTATCTTTTACGGAATGAAAGGGGTGGAAAGGAGAGGTAGTTTTCGGGGTACGAGCCGAGGCGAGGAATACGAGAGAAAGGACGATGGAGTTGGGGGTGGCTGGGAAGATAAGGCGAATCAAATCGTAAATAACCGCGGAACGGCGGAAAGGAAAGGGAGCGAGTGGCGCGGGGGTAGCGAAGGAAGGGGCGAGAGTGAGGGGTACGACGCCTCGCCAGCTGCAAAACTCGCCGAGTTTTATAGTTGAATCGCATGACTCCGAATCTCCATACATTCCGCACCTTCTCCCTTTTGCCGCTCACTCTCTTCTCACCACCATCCTCTTGTCTTTCTGTCTTTCTCTATCCTCCGCCCCTGTACTTTCCGCCTTTTTACTCGAACCACCCTTACTCCCCCTTTTTTCGCTCCCCCTCTTCTGGTCATATCTATTTTTATATCGCCGTTCCTTTCTTCAAGCCGGCGGCTACCACTCCACCTGCGGATATCTCCACATTGGTAACACCGTGTGCGTATTATGCATATACGAGTGCGCTGGATGAAGAAAGAGGCGATTAATTCCGTATTCCTAGATACTTTCTAACGTCCGCACGCCAGCCTCATACCTCATGCCACCGTCGCAGCCTTCATGGTGTTTACGAGCACCGTTTTTCGAGAGGAAGTGAAAAAGAATTGGACGTACGTTCAATATATCTGTGCCGTAGCCTGGAATTATAGTGCTGAATCCAGGTGGAATTTCCGAGAAAAACGCGATGGTTATGCGGCAATCGAACGATGCAAACAATAAAGCGAACTCGCTACCGATGAAAATAGTCGAGCAAAAATTTATTAATTAATTTTGTCTGAAACTTTGAGAGAAAACTCAGAACTAATTTTAAATTATTTACAATTTTTCTGGAATGTTTAAAAAAATATTTTTTATAATATGTTTTATTATTGGAATTTTTCGCGACGGTTATCTTTTAAGTTATTTTTAGTTGCAAAATGATTAGTATTAATTATTATAATATACATATAACGACGATCCTTCATGACGAAGCGCTATATTTTTATGCGCAAAACTATTCGACAACTCAGTCGTACTCTCAATTTCACGGAGCGCGGAATCGCGGAAGAAGTTCTCGCCACAAGTAACTGTGCGTGTGGTATCACACCCGTACATACGTATGTATGTGTACGTATTATGCGACGAGGGTGTAGCCCAGGGTGGAAAGGTGGGCGAAGGTGGCCGTGGGCGGAAAGTGCACGAAGGAGGGTGGAATGCAGGCCGAAGTAGGTACTAATGCCAAAAGTTTTAACGAGTTTGAGTGATCGCGGTCGATGTAACCGCAACAATAATAGCAATAGTAATAATCATGCCACTGCTCCGAGGCGGTACCAACTTATCGCGTTGCTCGGTATAAAAGCCTTGCTTGTGTGCGCTTTTGTGTATCTCTCCGACATTCAGGCAGGGATGAAAGGAACGGGGACCGCTTATCAAATTCGTACTTCGCCGTCGATAATAGATATGATAATAGAAATTAATATTCCACACACAAGATTAGTATGATTTTTATTACTATCATCAATATTTTTAATATAATAATAATAATAATATCTGAGATGATATAAGGGAATTGTATGTTTTTTATCTGGTATATTTTTAAAGTAAAATTTGTTTAATTATAATTTATGTTATAGTGATTGAATAAAAATATTAGATTTGCTAACAAAGAATATGGAGAACTAGATAAATATCTAGTCGAGCAATTAATCTCATGGTGCGACAGTGCGTCGCTCAGCTTTGTCCGCAACCTCCATCTTCGACGAAGGATTCAAGGGACGACTTTTCTTCGCGTCAGCCAATGACCGATCGCGCAAGTCGCGCCAAATGGAATCCTCTTCGTCTTCGTCGGCACTTTCTTCGGGCACAGGCAGCGGGATCTGTAACACACGTACGCACCACATACATAGGTATAGACAGGTATCCTGAAAGAACGACCGACCGGCGGGGCGGTGGCGGGGGACGAAGGTAGAAGGTGCCCGCCTCGGCGAGGGCCGACTAAAGGGTGTATGATTGATCGCGCCATGGCATGCCAGATAATGCAATTTTATTTCATTTGATTCCGCGGGGGTAATTGCTATTTTGGCGGGTCTGCCGCGCCGAACGGCCGACGGAGTGATGTATTGGCGTGGCTCTTTCTTCCTCTGTCCACCCCCCCTGACCCCCTCTCTTACTTGCCCCCTTCTCCCTCCGTCTCGCGATATATATTAACTCCAGTCAGGATTATTGCTTCGAGGGTGGAAAAGAGCGGATCGATCACGTGCAAAGGAAGGTGGAGAATCGTCGGCTCGTCGCTTCCGCCGTCAACGACCGCGCGGGGTGATAAATCTCGCGTCTTCCTACCATCTTGTTTTGGAAAGGAGCCTAATCGGCCGTACGATTGATTTAGATCGCCCGATTTACCTCGCTTCACATCGACCTTGTGTAACGCCGTACGCGAAATTGGAGAATCGCGATGATTGCGTTATGGCAAACCGTGTGTGAATCCTTATCTGAATAGAACTTGTCCCATATATACCTTTCTTCGCTTTAATAATAGATTTTACTGAAAATATTATATTTAAAATTAATTTCTGTGTCAACAAGTGCTGCAAAATTTTTATCGTAACTCATGATTTATATAATTCCTTAATTTAAGATTAAAAAAAGTCAAACATTAATTAATTTATTAATTGAAATTTATTAAGTTCAACACAAAGAAGTTATAATTGAATGAAGGCGCGTTAAATACACGCATTTGCAGAAATTTGTTGCTAATCGCATGAACAAAGAGTCATCTTCAAAATTCTGAGCGCTCTACGCGACGATGTAACCGAAGCTTTCGTCGCAATAAATTCAAAATAATATCCAAAGGCAACGCGACACGAAGCAGTATAGTGGCAACCCAGCGGCGTGTTTCTATTTGACGTCGCGGTGCCGCGGGTGCATGGCGTCCCCGCGCAGTTGGTTAGCGTTAATTGTAATGCTTTTTGGTCCATACGCGATTACACGATGAAATAATCCCTCATTTATGAGTTAAGTGGTCTGTGGAACTCAACGGCGCTTCTGATGAAATGCTCACGGCGAGTGCACCGCCGCGCTGGTTCTGAGGAGAGTCGTTGAGGAACGGGCAGGAGAGAGAGAGAGAGAGAGAGAGAGAGAGAGAGAGAGAGAGAGAGAGAGAGAAAAAGGGAGGGAGGGAGAGAGGAATACGGGGAGTAAGAGAGAAGGGTGAAAACGCACGCCGGAGAAGAGAGCGTGAGAGTGAGAGGGAAAAGGGCAGGCGGATGGAGGTCAGGGGGTAGGTAACTGCGCCACCAACCACGCGACCCTACGGCGATATGGTCCTTTGCTCGTATTATAATTACGTTCTGCCGTCCGTAAAATTGCAAATAATTAAGATTTGGTCGATGCGAGAGCGCGAAACGTAATAATGTCGTGCGGGTTGTTTCGCTGCACTTCGTGGCTGCGGAAGGAGTACGATTGCGAGTTGTCGAGATCTTTCTTGCTCATTCAAACGTAATAAACGACATTTGCTTTCACAGTACATATAATATTTGCCTATCGGGAAACAATAAATAAGCTAACTTTTTATCAAAGCAGTTTTTACTAAGCTAGCGAGATTCATTTTTTCTCTCATAATTTTATAAAATCACGTTATTTAAATCGGGCTAAGTTTCGACGATAACTGAAAGCTATCTCTCGATAGCACTCGCAACACAATGATATATAGGTAATTAGGACGTTAATAGGCAAAATTACTCGTTTGAGTCAAAGCCAGCGGTGATTTCGCGTCACCGAACAGAAATTACAAACTCTCGCTGTTTGGCGTTGTCGGTCTGTTTCTTGGTTGTTCTGTTTCGATCTCGGTAATCATTCCGACAAATGCCGGAACCGCCATTACTCAGCAAATTTAAGATCATTCGCGATAGACATCAGAAGAACCAAAAATTTACTTAGCCATCGTATACGAATAAATACGAGTATAATCAGCCTCGAGGCCATTTTAGGGGAAGCACCTACAAATCCATGCATTCTTGCGTGAAAAAGGGGTGAACCGAGAAAAAAGCCTGGTGCATCGCGAAAGGAAAGATATATTTTAGGTTTACATTTGACAAAGCATACTTGTACTTGTTTGAGAGTTTACATTTAAACAAAGAATACTTGTAATTGTTAAATGGCGGATATAATTCTTAGGTCATGCAAAAGGTATATATGTGTGCGTGCGATGTCATGTACTCACGTGATGACAATTTGATCGATCGTTGGCGGACTTATATTCTTTTTATGCTGAAAAGTATTTAATTATGTGTTATACTCATTATATCATTATATATGCAGTAACATTACCGCACGAAAAAATCTGAATACTTTGTGCCGACAAATAATTATTTCGTGAACGCAAAGGCTACTGTGTAAGCTTGCTTCAAAGTGATAAGAACCGAATTAAAGTTACATACAAATTAACCCGATAATGCACACGTGAAGCAACCCGTTCTCGCAACATTCGCCGATGCCGAAGCGCAAGGTGAAAACCTCCCCCTGCACTGTTATGGCAACTTTCTTTCTAACCTTTTTTCTTCCTTTGACCTCCCCCGCTGTGCTTTTCTTCTCTCTTTCTTCTCGAAGCGTGAGATCGTCCTGCGCAAATTGGCCGTGGCTTTTTTAATTTACACTCGCTCTGCGCTGCAATCGCCTCTGTCGTTCTTCTCTGTGCTGCGACAAGTCGATGGGTGGTGGGTTAACCCATTGTCGGCCATCTTGCATATATATATATATATATGCACGCCGAGTTTTGTGATATTTCTTAATTAAATATAGCCTCAAGTTAAAAATGAAATTAAACAGAAGGCAGTGTTTTTTTGCCGGCTCGCCCGGCCCCGTATCTCGCTTCCACCCCCGACGAGTAAAACCCTTCCTACCCTGTTCCTCGGCTCGACAATGGCGAATAAGGTTACCCAGTCGCTTCGCAGCTTCGACCAACTCTCTCCCTCCCTCTTCCCCTTTCTGCGGACCACTCGCTATACATATTTCACGTCGAAATAATTAAACGCCGCTGGACCGCGAGTCGACTTGCCCTAAGGTCGAGTGGAGCCGAGTCGCGATTATTAATTAGGTCGTAGCTGCCTCGCCAACCTCGACTCTCGATTTTCTGATAAGGTCGACTGACCATTGGCCTCGGATGAATAATACGTTAAGCTTTCAGTAAAGTTACAAATTATGCATACGCGCGCATATTTATCAAAAATTTACGTAATTACTATTATAGTTTCTTCTTCCAATATATATCATTTGTATTTATAAAAATCTATCATTTATAATTAACAAAGTTTTTATATTTATTTGTTATAATTAATTACATTATACATTTGTTTGAAAATTATCAAATATATGTATTAAATGATTATTTGTTTTTTATTATAATTAGTAAGCAGCTATTTTTCCAATTATCGAGATTATTTAAAACATTGCGTGCTGCAAATCTATTGGTACAGAAAATTTATCTTACAATAAAACGGTTCCAACAACCCATATGTGATCGCCAGCGATCTAGTCCTGTATTCTCGACCGTCTTGGTAATTTGTGCGCCAATTTGGAGAGAGCTCTGACACTCGCGTAACGCTAATTCTCGGAGATACTGTCAACCCGACGGCGATTATCAATTGCCTTGTCAATTACATCCCGTCCAGAGGACGACGCGCACATGCTGGTAGACCGTGCCGCCGCCGATCCTCCACCCTCTTCTTCCTCCATCGACTCTCGACCGAATCTCGAGCCCGGCCTGATCGCAACGAGTTATTTAATTACCACGATCTATCACCAGGTGTCAGCTTCCAGTCTATAATGCATGATCGATCGTAGCTCGAGCCCTCCTCCTTCAACCCTTTGCTTCCGCGCTTCGGAAAATGCTCGTACGTGTGCGAGGGTTCGTGCGCGCGAGTATTATATAATAGATGCTGTACACGAAATTCGTGAGACAGTTATTTTTGCTCTTATATTTTCACCTACAATACCGTGATTTAAATGATGTACAAATATAAAAATCATTGATAATCCAAGCGAGATCTGTATAATGAGAATTCTTCTAAACTAACGAATTTCCATGGCGAAATATTCGGAATTTCGACGGTGAAGAGAAGAACTAAAAGAGAGAAAAATCCATGTAATCCGTAAAAGTTATAAAAATATTTTTCAAAAGAAGCTTGCGCCCCTATGTACGTCGCATTCGTCTCCAGGCTGTGTCTCACCTATTTATCAAACCAAAAGTGCGACTTATTCCACGCACGTATTACCCGGCGTACCCTACGAAAATGCGTCGAACACGCGGCGGGGTTCTACTTAATCCTTAATTATTCCGTGTAAATCTTAATTCCTTCGTCTCGGCAAGTCGTTACTTGTGCAAGCGTCGTTAACTACGCCCACCGTAAACACCGCGCGCCCAGTATTTCGGACGTGAAACTTTTAAACGACGAAAGGATCGATTAAGGTATAACTTCCATTAAGGTAACTCTCGATTGGGAACACGGGGAAAGAGCGGCAAGGATCGGTGAGACCGAAGTACGACAGAACTAACCGAGCCCGTCTTTTTCATCGTCATTTTTATCGGCGCAGATAAGACGGCCGGGGCTAATTCGCATTCCCCTTGATGTCTGGCGGAGTTAACGGTTTTAAGGGATGAAACGCGTATAGATTGGAGGTTGGTGGCTGTGAACGTAGGGACGCCGACGAGGAGAACGAGGAGACGGTGGAGGCGAGGAGGCGAAGCAAGAAATTGATATAGCATACGAAAATGAATTGCCCCTTTGCCGAAGAATGTTCCACGGCAATCTGCCCTGCGCCTCGCTTTTTATGCTTTTTATGCTCATTTTCAATTTTACTCCCCGCCCCCGTCTTCCATCCCTCGCTGGGCTTGACGACGCCCCCAGGTTTTTCCATAAAACCTTGCGGTATTACAATACCTTGTCGAGCCTCTGCCGCCGGCACCCTTCGCGTCGATAACTGGATGAATACAAACGGACGTATTATCGGTGTCAAGGCTTGCGTCTCTTCTTCGTGAAGAAGACGTTTCGCGTATAAATAGACAATATCACATTTCCCAGCTTTTAACGAGATATTGATATTTATTGATGTGGAAATTCTTTGATACTTATCACTATTTTAAAAATTTAAATAGCCAACATCATTAATATTGCAGTTATTTAAACTAAATTAATCTTCTTAAATTTTTATTCTCGCCTTTTAATTTAACAATGAATCTTATTTAACAATATTTTAATCTTACAACGAATAAAAATAATAAAATTATTTTTTTTATATTTCCCCAAGAATATAAAATACTTTGTGAATTATATTAATCAGCAATAGGCTGTTAATTTTTACTGATACTTACATCTTTATAACCTGATAAAAATAGAATTTTGTTTTGTCAAGAAGTTATTAATATGTTTAGTATTCAAATGTGGATGTCACGCAAGGATGTCCCTACAATTCCGATTAAAATGTATCCGAGAGCGGAGATAAGGATCCGATCCGAATTTGAAACGACATTCTAGTAGGGTGTCTGGCGCAAGGTAGGGGTCGAAGAAGATAAATTTCAGTCGAGAAGCAGCTCGGAATCAGGAATCTGGCGCGTTTCTCGAGCAATCGTTGCCGACGCGAGATAGGGCCGCGGTTCGTTCTGTTGCTTATTTGTCGCCGGAGAAACGAAACGAGCTGGGGAAATGGCGAGCTGGTTTAAGGGCGCGTGAGGGGTGTGGGAGGGATTTGTGCTCGAAACCGTGCAAATAACGGTCGCAGACGACAAGTTTCTCTCTGCATCCACTGCTCCGTGCGACCCTCGGATCCTTCGTTCGCATCGAACCTCAAACGGGAGGTTCGATGCTCTCGTAGATGCTATCGATTCGCACAACCAGACGAAGGGATTCACAATGCTTTTACGATAAGATCGAATAAACGTCAACGTTGCGGGGAAAATTAAACGTGAGAGAAACCATTGCCGGAGAAACTATTAACGTGAGCATGTTGAAACTTAGAAACATATCGCTTGAAAATAAATTCGACGTGTTTTCTTTTTAGATTGCAATAGTAATTCGATGATTGAACCGAACACCAACTATACACGATTCTCGTATTGCCTCGTTAACCCGGCAAGGCGTCACTTAGCGACGTACATGCGGCGGATTGGGGACGTTGAACGAAAAAAGAAAAAAAACGAGAATTCGTATAAATCGTCCGTTGCAACACGCCACACATGCGTATCTCTTACGTCTGGGCGAACGGCGGAAGAACACAAAGCTAATGCAATTTTGCAATTATACCGTGCTCGCCCGTCCCTTCGCCGCCCCGGCACCGCCGCACTGAGGGGTGCAGAGGAATGCCCGCGATACGCGTCGTCCTTTCCTACCCCTCGGTCTTCTCTTCGCGAACAACGCGAGAATATTTAAATTTCGTTTCGTTTCCGCATCGTTATTCTTTCATTCGTGCCGCCGCGGTGCTCCGTTGGTGATTAATTGGCAAATCCAATCGCCAAGCACGGAATGTACGCTTTCGCTTTGTCGGTATCTTTGCAGACGCAAGACGCACTCTACTTATTTATCATTGAAATATGATTTCTAATATTAGCATAGTCCTCAAGTCTCTTTTTTTCTTTATCGTTTCGACCGCACTCGTGGTCGAATTTTCCATCATTATCAATCGTAGAAATTTATTATGGCGTTCCCTATGCTGCGACTGTCCCCTCTTTTTTGAGTGTTCTCCTTCTCGTTCTGTGATTTTATTTGTTTTCTACGTTCTCGTCACGTTCACCCTAGCGCGTTACCGGGATAATAAACCTCGGTAACGAGTAATAAATCCCACGATTATCATGATATACTGGACACGGCAGCGAGATACATCCAGTCCTTTCATCCCTCCATTCGGTCCCGATATTCTCCGGTCCGACAGAAACTTTTCGAAGGATACGTAATAATCCATCCCACACAATTCCATGTTACTCGCACTCGGAAAAGGCTCATCCTGCATGATGGAAAAAGCGACGGAGAGAGATGAGGGGGGAAGGACTTGGCGCACTCGCGCTGCTGTATTAGATTTGCTTTCTAGGACACTTTAATCAGAATGTACCTATGTAAATTTTTGAATACACATCCCTCGTCTCCCGCGATGTTTGTATAGGTCAGGCGAAGGTATTTTCCTGCCGAGAGCGGAGGACCTACGTTGGCGACCGCCGTCGCTGCAGCCGCCGTCGTCGCCATCGCCATCGCCATCGCGCCATCCCGTGAATTAAAGAATTTGCAATTCTGAATTTCAGGTGATCGCATACATACGCCGTCCGGCTTTATCCCACCGACGACGACGACGACGACGACGACGACGACGACGACGACGACGATGACGGCGACGACGACTCGCTTTCTGTCCACCGCGAGCATCGACCGCGGTCGCGATATATTCTTTTGAGACAACGTGTGGATATACGAGATGTTTATCTCATATCACAAGTTACATTTTATATTACTTTCACAGAGTATTCGAAATTAATTATATCTTTGCTTTTATGTCTTTTTATGGATTTTTTCGCTGGAATCTTTGCCAGGAGAAATTAAATATGTAAGTAAAATTAAATGAGGGATTTCTTTTGTGTTATGTACATAACGATACACATACAGTAGCTTGGTGATCGCGAAACTCCTAATTTGTTATTTTTATCATATTTGCGCATATATTTGCATTCTATGTGGATTTACTTCTCGCAAATGAATTTGTAGTAATAAAATCTTTGTAATTATAGTAATAGTTACTAAAATATAGAGTTTACGTCTTTTAAATTAATTTATATAATGATAACGTATTGATATTTTTATAATATTGCCTGTTATATTATATCGCTATTTGAAAATATTGAATTTATTTAGAATAAGTTCATATATTTATAGAGTCGAAAAGGGTTCATTCAAAAATTTACATCACTATATTTCATCTCAATAATAAACTAATCGATCGGACATAATATACTATGATGATCTGTGAGTTTCAGTATGTCTTTCCCTTTTCATCTTAATCCTTTTTATTTCTTCTCTTTTTTACTTAGTGAGATAACGGAGAAGAGAAGCATTTTACTCACGTGTAAAAATTCAGACGGATCTGACTTACAGCATGAAACATTACCTTTACATTGAACGTGGCAAACATGGTTCTATAATACAATGTTATTTCTCACATTTGCAAAATAATTACGCACAAACTTCCTTTATTCCTGTGAATAAAATTCAGATAAATTCCTTCAAACTGTAAGGAATTAACAAACTTTCCGCATAAATATTTAAAAGACTTAAATATTTAAAAACCTTGAATTTCACCTATCTTGTGTACATTACTCGAGTACAATGTACGCGCTCGAGGAGAATGGATGTCAATGTGGTGTGCCGACTGGTTAGGCACGAATTTCAAGATGAATTCCGGCGGACAATTACGACATTTTAATTGCACAATACCCGGGCTACGAGAGGCGAGCGAAAAGAGAGCGCTCGCGAGAGGCGGAGACGGCGAGAAAGAGGAGAAAGACGGACAGAGGATGCGCCGTGTGTGGAGCGATGGGGGTGGTCGGGGGATGGACGGGCACAAGAAATGACCGACCAAGCGCACACGCGTATAATTATAATAACATTACTTGACAGAGATGGCGGCGAGAGGCGAGCCCGGTCGGCCAGGCTCCGCCGAGCATTGAAATATTATACCTACCAAAGAGAAAATAATTAAAATTCAACCCTTGCGCTCGCTCGCATGCGAGTGCGCGCCCACATTCGTGTTAGTACCGGCACACGTACATACGTACGCCATGTACACACATATACAATCTGTGCGCGCCTTCTACGTGGGGTAAACCGACTCCCTCTCTCCGATGCCGCTACCTCCCTCACTCGTTCTCTAAAGATGGGGTTTCCCATATTTTTTCCAGCGCCCTAGGTAACAGGTATTCCGGAAACGTTTGTTCGTTACGTACGTGCTTCTGAGCGCCGTTGTAGTAAGTAGAAAAAGCCCCTGACGTGTACCTTTCAAGTTGGATTATCGAGCCGGATGAATGCGCGCATTCACGATCGCGCGGCTTGACTCTGACAGTATTATTGTTGCGAAACATATCCGGTGTCCGCGTGTCGATGTTCTTCTGCGGTAATTGCCCGCGTTACACGCTTCAACGGGTTTCGGTAATTAAATTGGATTTAATACGATTTCGCGAAAGTAAAAGCCAATCAAGTCCAGATAAAAAGGTAATTATTTGATTTCGAAGAATTAAGGACTATCACGTATATTTATACTTAAAATGATAAAATTTTAGACATATTTTTATCATCATTTGGATAGGATTTCTCTTTTGTGTTTCTCTTGAGACAATGGAACTGCTTGACTTAACAATGAGCTGAGTTTGATCGCGTATACGGTTATACAGATCGATTCGATGTAACCGTCGGAAAATAAAGGCTTGGTCTTGCCAAAAGGCGAGATGGACACGGCCGTTTTAATTGATATTTTAATGGACTTCGCGGAAAAAGGTTCTTGAAAATCGGCCCCCGAGGCCGTGACAGGATTGCGAGACAAAGGAATTAATGGAAGCCGCAGAGATCCTTCTACTTTAGCACGTCCACAGCAGGAGGACTTCCCCTTCCGTTTTCACGGCTATCAATAGCGTCGCCGAGAATTCGGGCCCCGTCAAACGCCGTCGGTTATAATTTATTCAAATTAGTCCGGGGATTATTCATGAAAAAGTTACGACGCAGGGAGGCGAGTCGACGTTCGAACGGCGGATTCGCTCGATAATATCGCTTTATCTTTTTCCTCTACGAGATTAATATAGGTTTATTATACGACGCAGTTTCCTTGTTTTGTGCCATCCCGCGTGATTACTCGTAGATCAACGTAAAGGTAAAAAGCTATCTACCTAGTCGAGTAATACTCAAGCATTCGCGTTATCTTCTTGATAATACAAATCGTTCGTTTACATACCACCAGGAAACTTCAATTTTTATTAACTTAATATTAATTGTGTAATTACCGTATAATTACACAATTAATTAATTGTAAAGTAAGATTTTCTAATGTAAACTTATTCTTTTAAAGCGTTACTTTTACATCTCCATACGAACAGAATAAAAATGACGTGTGTCGCCAATCAACAATCTATTCAGCGAAAAATGATCGTCCGTTCTTCACGTGTGTGAAGAACATCAACGGGTATTTTGCCTTCTCGGGGAATAATTATTTGCGCTCTTTAAAAGTGCAAAAACAAGAGGCACGCGAGCGCGAGCGAAGAGCACTCGTTGACACGAGGGCGTGCGCAAGGCCGAATCACAGCGGCTCGTAACGGGTCGTACATTATGATTTAATGCTAACACTGTGGTAATGTCGTCAGAGAGACTCCTGCGTATAAATAATTCGCGTGTCCGGGCGCCCAACCCCGAGGACCACGAAGTCCGGGGTGGACGAGGGCGCAGAAAGAGCAAGCGGAGACGGAGGGAAGGAGCCACGGGGGTTGGGGCGGGCGGGGACGGGGGAACGGCGAGTTTTTAATGCGGCATCTCTAGGGGCGACGAGGATTACCAAGGTTAAAAAGGAAGTTTTTAATAATTTTTCATTTTCTCTATATTTATTATCGCACGTTTCCTAACCGGGGGTGGGAAATAGGGGAGGGTAGGGAGTTTTGTTTTGTCGGAGACAATGGAGGGTCGGTTACGCCGGACCGTCTACTGTCGCGGGGGGGATGATAAGGGGGAGAGGTAAGGGATGGGATTTCACGATTGTCAGTTGTCGTTGTGAAATTTTAATTCGCCCTCTCTTGCTTTCTTTTTTTTATAGTCACTTTCTCTCTCTCTCTCTCTTCCTCTTTCCCATTCTTTTCTGATCTTAACGTGTAAAAGCCATTGCGATCCCTCCATCCTAATCCACAACGCAAAGTCATTTTTACAACGGCATGCCGGTTGCTCGCGGAGATGTAGTGCCTTTCACGCACACCGCTTCTCGTTCATTTGCCCTGCACGGTGTTATTCGAAGTTTTGCGTTGCGAAATCTCGCATGTTCATTTTTCACCACTTCTGTTTACATCGTGTTCTTTTCCACTTTTCTCGACATATAAAAAAGCTCTTTACGATTTGCGTATGGAAAAGAATTTTTTCACGAGAAATTAAGAAAATTGGATTGTGATTTGAAATATCGATATCTGTGCATTCACTAACAATATCAAACGATAAAAAGTAACAATTAATTTTCGAAAGAAAAATTCGTGTAGGAAATAATCGCGTTTGCCAATCGACTTGATCGAAGAGAACGGAAAAACGCTTGACACGAGAGAAATTCTGTGAGAAGGCGCGGTGTAAGGGAACGCCGGAAATTCGTCTGTACTAATTTGTCGCGAAGATCGTGGAATTGAAGCTGGCGCGAAGTCTCTTCTATTGGCTCGGAACATTCCACTATGCGCCTTTCTCACCCTCCTCTTCTCTTTCCGGCTGCCTTTCCTTTGGTTTCCCTTCGCGATACGAAGTATCCTACCGCATTTTCTGCGAGCACTATTCTGAATTACGAATATCAGAACCTTAATGACATAAAAGAGAAAGAGGAAACAGATTAGTTGAACAATTATTGAAGACCACGTAAAAAAAGATATTCTGTAAGTTAAATCAAATTAGCAACCTTGCAATTCTTTCATTTGTTATTGTTTTTATTAATATTTTGAAGTAATATTTTTCTTCAATAATTTTTTCGTAATATGTACTTGGAACTCAATAGAATTTCAAGACAGAAAGATGAAAAGAGTTTAACGTACAAATACATTAAAAGCAACAAGAATCTATTAAGCGTGAGGATCAATATAATTTTTTAATGTGAAGCTTTCAGTTATTTATTAATTGTATGCAAACCACGATGAAGTGTATAGTCATTCATTTACGTCGCTTATATTGAATGTAAATGTAAAGAGCAGAAAAATTATGTTTACACGGAAAATCCGTCACGGACGTTCGTGGATTTTCTATCCACGAACGAGCTATACTTTCTTCGTTTCGCTTCAGACCTTCCATCTCTTTATCCTGAAATCCAGTGAGATATACTACCGGTGTATTAATCAGGAACGCACAGGGCAACCTGCTTTATGAGTCTTGAAGTATCGCGAGAAGTAGAGAGGGAGGAGGCGCAGGGCGAAGACATCAATGTCAATAATAATTCATTGATTACTTAATTCATAGTTGCCATGACGACCGTCTCTCGCTTTTCCCTCGCCTCCAAGCTACTCTGTTTTTCTCGCTTCGACGAGAAGTAGAGTATATATTCCTTAAACGCATCTCACACAGAATCGAACGTGCCAATTGTTTCCTTGAGCGGTCTAAATATTTGAATAATTAAAACATATATTTCCTAATTTATATCATCACGATTTTCATTCGCTTCTGGATTAACAAGGCGATTCTGATTAC